GGGTGTGTACTTTCCTGAAAGGGGCCATAAATCATAAAATCATAAATGGCAGGCTACCCACTCATTGGTGTTTCAAGCACTAACATCTTCCCCTTTTGAACCGTCGCACACTATCTGTCTTTGATTTTTGATGCTCAAGGTGGTTTTCCTCATGGCCATTACCTCGGTCAGGGGGATATCGGAGTTGGCGGCCCTGTCAGTCCGCAAGGATCTCTGCATTTTCCATTCTGACAGAGTAGCTCTTCGACTTGACCATTCTTTTTTGACAAAAGTTAATTACTGGTTCCATAGGCCCTGGAATTTATTCTTCCAGACTTCTGCCTGCGGCTGACACATGCTCTCAAACGGAAGTGGCATCTCTTAGATGGGTGAAGGGCTCTTTGTCGATACGTCAAGCAGATGTCAACCTTCCGGAGAACTGAATCACTCTTCGTAACCTTTCACCCTGCATCTATGGGACAGAGAGTACCATCTACAACCTTAAGGCGGTGGTTAAAGGCCTGCATTGATAAAGTTTACGAGGGGCAGGCCAGGCCATTGCCTTGTAATATAACCGCACACTGCACCAGGAGTGCGGCCACGACTGCTGCCTGGGTGATTCGAGCATTGGTTGAGGAAATCTGCAGGGCAGTGACCTGAACCTCACGGTTACCATTTGTCAGGCATTATAAATTGAATGTTTTTGCCTTGCCTGAGGCATCTATCGGGAGAATATTATTGCAGATGGTTCATTCAGCTTCCCGGACCCTGGACCGGTCTGAGCCGTGCCCTTAGGACACTATGCTTGAGCACATCCTGTGAGTAAATACTCTAAGCAGCGCACAGGAGAAAGACCATTGACTTACCTGAATTGACTTACCTTTTATGTGTGCTGCAGGAGCATCCACCCCTGCCTGAAGATCATGCCGCTCCAGGGGCTGCTTGAGTTGAGCAGTCAAGGCGGCTGGGCCTCTTTTGACATTTCATTGGATTTCTTCTCTTGGATCGGCCATGCCTCTATTGAAAAACTGTAGATCTACCAGATAGAGGAGGCGGGGCCAACATTTCTACCAATTCAGTCTCTAGGCAAGTAGACCAGAATTTAACCCATGAGTGGAAGCTTCCACAGCGCACATAGAATGACCGTTCAGGTAAGTCAATGGTCTTTTTCCTGGAACCAAATTCTTTTAAAGTGTCTATGGAGATTCTCAGTCATCCAGATCATGGTTGTCCCAAAGGTGCTTTTTAAAGAGGCAACTAAACTTTCCTGTTTTTTCTTGCAAGATGTTTCACTTCTCATCCAAGAAACTTCTTCAGCTCTTCTTTCAAAGTGGCCATTTTGCTTTAATGTCATGCTACCCTCTTGCACAACTGTTCTATTTGCCTATGTAACAACAGTACCTCCATTCCAAACAGCAGAACCAATCCTTTGAGATCTTTACAGATATTCCAGTTGTACTTGGTGCACCATATGTTCTTCAACAACACTTCCATGTTTTCATCTACTTCTTTCAAGTGTGCAGCATAGTTGACAGGTATTGAAGCTTTGAAATTGCAAAAACAAAAGATTGATTTAAAAGAATACATGATGGATTAAATTACAAGTTATTTTCATGATTAGAAGCCAAAAATCCAAACGACAGTGTTTAGGAAACAAAATTTTGTTGCCCAATTAAATTATCTATTACAGGCCTTGTTTGCTTGAAATCTTTTTTCATACATTATTTTACTTATGTCCACATAAGTTTACACTTCTATGGCCAATTGATAGAATTAGAATTTTTAAAAACATTAAAAACTTTGTTAAACTTCTAAAATATAAAATCTGAAACTTTTTTTAAAATTCACAAAATGAGATTTTCAGCCCAAATTTTATAGTAATTTAATCAAGAATTTGTAGGTAGGGGAAAAAATTAACAATTACATGTGAAAGACTTTTTATTTTACAGATAGACTCTTATTTGCTTATCATTTATCTGGACAATTTCATTTAATCTAATTAATGGAGAAGGCAGAACTTTTCTCAAGTTATTAAAATATATGAAGAAGATGAATGATAGCTTGTTGTTCTTAATAGTTTCAGTTTATCTTGGCTGTCATATGTACTGGAAACTAAGTCAATTACTGTAAATTTTGAGATTTATAAACACATTTTCCCACCCCATCCCACATTTATTTTTTAAAAAAATGATTGAAGCCATATTAAAATATAATTATTAAATTGTTCTTATTACTGGATTGAGCAATGGATTTTGCATTGATCTGCAAAAATAGGTTGCCTCCTGGTAGTGCAATAGCTGTAGCAATGGAATAGCTTGCCTCCACATGTTTGGGGTGCTCCCTCATTGGAGGATTTTGTTGAGATGGTATAAGGCTCATGTCTTGAGTAGGGAGTTGGCCCTCTGAGGTCCCTTTCAGCCATATAATTCTATGAAAATAAATTAAATTAATTTTAAGGGAATTTTTTTTCATTAGGTAGCAATTTAAAACATGCAATGAGGTTACACACATGTTGCTAAGAAAGAGCCAGTTTGGTTTGGCAGTCAAGACCGAGGCTAGAAATCAGGTGTTGTAGTTCATATAAGCCATGAAAGCTGGTTCCATGACGTTGCAACAGTCACTTACTCTCTTTCGCCCCAATTCACTGCACAGGGCTGTGGGAAAATAGGAGTAGTATTAGGTATGTTTGCTGCTTTAAGTTATTTATAAAAATAATAAAGGTGGGATAATTTAAAAAAAAAAGGATCTAAGAAGTATAAGTCAGCTTTAGATTCAGCAATCAGTTTTACATCACAGTATATATTTATAACACTTAGCCAAAATATTTAATTTACAGTATTTAATATTTATATTCCTATTATTAGATTAAATATCTATTAGTTGTATTTCTATTATTATGGTATAGTTTTAAAATTCTATATATAATGAAATAATTTAATTACCTTTGATTCGAACACAGTCAAAATGGAAACATAATTATAATTTTCTGATTCATTCTAAGCTCAAATTCTATAGCACCGTGATGGGGGAACCTATGGCACATGAGCCCAAAGTGGTTCATGAAGCCATGTGGCCTGGCACGTATAGCCTTGCCTGTTTGTCTTCTGGGTTTCTGGTACACATGTGCATGTGGCAATCAGTTGTCTTTTGTGAGCACAAAAACCTGAGTGCACATGTGCGCCAGACAACTGATCGTGGGATGTGCATGCATGCTAGAACCCAGAAGTTCAGCTTTTCTGGACTGTGGCCCTGACAAGCTCAGCACAGACTGAGGAAAGGATGGCAGGCAGGAAAATTCCCCTCCCCATTTTCCTCCTGTTTGCAAAAAAGCCTCCATTCCTAACTGAAGGTTCAAATTGGAGGTTTCGGTGTGTCCATGATGCGTCCGAGTCTTGCCTGCTGCACCTCAAAAAAAGTAAGTCCGCTCGAAAATAAGCCCAAGTGCTTATTTTCAAGTCTAAAAGAAAAGACTGCACTCAGTCCTTGGCATTACAACCTTTTCTTGAAAACATGGACTCAGTTTTATTTTCTGAGAAATATGGTAATAGTGATGTTTATGTTAATAGTAGAGAGCCTGTTTGTGTAGTGATAAAGGCATTAGACTAGAAACTAGACTAGGGCCAGTTGGCTTGGACCAATCGCTTGCTTTCAGTCCTACAAAGAAGGCAATGGCAAATTACTTCTAAAAACACTTGATAAGAAAACTTCAGAGACTTGTCAAGACAGTCTCCTAGAATTGGATATGATTGAACGGGAGGAAAATGTGAAGTATAGGTAAGTCCTCAACTTACGATTGTAATTGAATCCAGAATAGCAGTTGCAAGTCGTGTCTGTCATTAAGTGGGTCATTATGTGACTGATCTGATTTTACAATTTTTTTGCAGCAGCAGCAGCCTTAAGCAAATGAACATCAAGCAAATGAATACTGTGGCCATTTAGTAAATCCATTAAGTGATGCCACATTTTATGTCACATTTCAAGTAGTAAGGTTTACTTTTTTCTGATGTGTTTGGTCAGATCAGGTATGTTGTGTAGTACTTCTGAGAGAGATACTTTAGTTCATTCTAGATCTATGAATGTAAAGAATCCTGGGACATGAAACCATAATTTCAGCTTCTATTCTTAGGTCTTTGCTTTTCTGGAGGCACTGTAGTGGGAAGTTGAATATTTGCTCCTCTCTAAGATGTTTCCAAGCTTTTTTGTAAGTTCTCTGACTATGTTTGCTTGTTGGGGCTCCTGATAACAATACAGTTGGACATCAAACCTTGTGTATTTTGTGGCATTGATAGAAGTGTAGCAGGATAGGTTGCTTCTTATGAATTCAATTGTTCCATGTTCAGTTTTGTTGCTTTTTGACTCACATATAGGTTTCTCAATAGCTCAGTTGGAATATCATCACCTCCACTAACTTCGCTGTTGGTAATATTTCCTAAGGCCTTCTTAACTTTGTACTACAGGATGTGTGGCTCGAGGTCAGCGATCACACCACAGTGGTTATCAGGGACATTAAGATCTTTCTTGTATAATTCTTCTATGTATTCTTGCTACCTCTTCTTAATCTCTTCTGCTTCTGTTAGAACCCTATGATTTTTGTTCTTTGTTATGTCCATCTTTGTGTAAAACATTCCCTTGATATCTCCAATTTTCTTGAAAAGATTCCTATTCTTTCCTATTCTATTGTTTTCCTCTATTTCTTTGCATTTTTCACTTAAGAAAGCCTCATAAAATTTTGAGATCATTAGATGTTAAAATACATGCTGGAATATTTTATTTGTATGAATAAATGTTGTTTTTTTAAAAGGTATTTTGAATTGCAGTTAAACAAGTAGTCTTACCATAGGAATCATAATTACTCTAATCTTTCTAATTTTTAAAATTTACTAGAGGAGTAAATAGTGTAGAGTGCACAATAAACATGTAACCGTTTCATTTTTTCTAACTGACAGTGTTAATGTAAGTTGGTTTGCTGGATGGAAGTGTTATTGAAACAATGATTGCTAAATTGTTAAATTCTTTTTCAGCTTGATGATTGTGCACTGCAGTTGTCTCACAATGGTACCTACTTGGATTTAGAATCTACTCTAGCTGAGCAAAAGGATGAGTTGGAAAGTTTCCAGGGGGAATTTGGGTAAGGAAATAATGTTTATCCATCTATAATTAGAGTTGCTAGAATGCTTTTATAACATCACATGCTTTAATAGAAGCTTTAAGAACAATTATATTATAATCTTATAGTGAATTGCACAAAACTAATGATAATTCAATGTGATGTAGTTCATACAGAAAATTTTTCAGAAAAGTCAGATGATCAAACTGAGTTTTGGTATAGAATGATATACATATTATTCCAATTTTCAGCAAAATTCCCCGTAGCAAACAATGGGTTTATTTAATGACTTTGTTTTACAACCACTCACATAACTACCAAGTGATTAGCAAATAAAGTGATTTGCTTAATGACCACTGCAAAAAAACGGTGATAAAATTGGGTCAGTCACAGAATGACCCACTTTATGACTCTCACAACTTACAACTATAATGGGCAGGCTCCATTATGGTCAAGGGCTATCTTTATAAATCTGTCTTGAGGTTAGAGGGCTAATATCTCTTGAAAATGTTAAGTTGAAACAGAGGAGTTTTTACAGTGGCAGATATTTTTATATGACGTATTAGAGATTAGTGGTGTTTGTTAGGTAAGCTCCCCGTTGGGAGAGTGAGTGCATTCAGCGCGTTGTGAGAGTTGTGTTGGAGAACACACAAACCAGCATACAGAGACACTGCAGTTTAAACAGGCTTTTACTTTCGTGAAAATAGAGGTATCGGAGTCCATCAAACAGTCCAAGTCATACACGGATAAGACAGTCAGTCATCAATGTCTTTCAGTTAAGGGATAATCCAAATAACATAGTCCAGTATCATATAATCAGCCCAGTACACAAAGTTTGCTAACAGTTGCAAAACTTACAATAGCTCATGGCACTCACATGAGATCAGCCCAGCATCTAACGAAACAGAGAGCTAACAGTCATTCTGGCTCCCTCTTATGGCCGATTGAGGAAAACAGCAACCAATCACATTTTACAGTATGCTTTAAAGAAATAGGTACAACATTGTTACATAATTTATATATTGCGAACCCAACCGTTAGATTATATTCCTAACAGTGTTGCAAAACTAATCAGCTCAACTCAAGTTCTTACCCAGTTATATTGGACCAGTTTGACCTTGTGGCTCTTGAGGAAATGAACCTATGGAGTATGAGGGCAAGCAGCTGTGTAATAGATGTTTTCAATCCATGCTCCTCCTGACTTGTAAAAACTTCCTAGGAGCTGAAATAAGAGTTGGTTCTGATGGTGATTAATTCTTTCCTGGTGATCTAGCCTTCATAACACTATATCTATACTCCATGCTATTGGATAATGTTTATTCTATCTCCATCATCCCTGTCTGGGGAAGGTTTTGAGAAGAGGTTGTGCTGCAGCTCCAAAGGTTCCTGGATAAAATCGATTATCCATTCAGGATTCATGTCTAGATATGGGACAGAAATGGCATTGGTCACACTTTTTTTATGAACTCTAGTGGGAGTGAGATGGGACAATGCATCCATCCTGTCCCTACTTGACCTCTCAGTGGCATTTGATTTCATCGACCATGGTATCCTTCTGGAGCGGCTTTGGAGATTCGGAGTATTTGGCTGTGGGTTGTTTTTGGTTCAGTTATTTCCTTGGTTGTTGCTCTCAGTTGGTTTTGATAGGAAACAAGAGGTTCAGCTTTCATTCCCTGCTTTGCACGGTTCCATAGGGATCAATACTATGTCCATCTCTGTTTATCATCTACAAGAAGTTGCTGAGTGAGATCATCCACCATCATGGGCTGTGATATTATCAATATGCTGATGGCACACAGGTATATACTATGTCTCAGCCCATCATGAGTTAAGTGATGTTGTGACATCCCTGTTGCAATGTCCAGAAGCTGTTAAAGGCTGAATAGAGAGCAATGGGCTGAAAATGAACCCTGGCATGATGGAAAGGCTTTTGGTTTGGAGTTCATCGGTCCAAAAAGAACTGCCATTTTGGTCTTGGATAGAATTGCTCTCTCCAGCCAGACCTGATGTATATTCGAAGTGCTGATGGCAGTCCTAGCCAGGTGGGCCTTGGTTGTGTGTCATTTACACCAAAGTTGTGTGCCAGTTACACCCTTTCCTAGACCAACAATCCCTGTTCCCATGGCCTAGTCATCTTGCCTTGACTATTGCAACATGCTCTACAAAGAGCTGCCTTTGGAAAGTATCCAGAAGGATCACTTGGTTCAAAATACAGTGGTCTACTTTGTTTTGTGCAAGTCTAGATTTGCACATTTATTACCTTCTCTCACAGGAGTTGCATTAGTTGCTGATTTGCTTCTGAGTGCAAGGTGCTTGTTGTTTCCTTCAAAGTCCTACATGGCTTGGAACTAGGTTTTTTGAAGGGCAGACTTTTCCCAATCTTATTGTCCGACCTACCAGAGCAGCGGCGGCGGCAAGGAATGTTGTCAGTCCTCTTCTAAGGAGGCCCATTTGCTGGGAGCAAGAAAGACCTTCTCAGTAGTTATTTCATTCATCACCTCTGTAGAGATAAGATTGTCCTCCACTTTGACTCAAGTCCTTAAAGACATGATTCTGCCAACAGACCTGGGGGACCCTGAGTGATATGGAGGCAATCTAATGGCTGGCTTGATTGTTTCCCTGGGAAGTTAGGGGTTATTGGTTTTTATACTGTACTGACTTACTGTTCTGACCTAGGCTACCTGATACAATAAAAAGCACATTCTTAGTCCCCCAAACCCTCTTTTTATTTCAAAGGCTGTGAATTATGTTCATTCACAGCCAGTAATGAGTCCCAAATAATTGTAAAGAATCCTACAGTAGACTGCCAAAGTCCTTTGGGATAAGGCTAATAAGCATCCACCTTTATCTTCCTTAAAAATACTGTCAAAGACTTAATTGGCAATTAGCTTGGCAAGGCCACACAGCAAAGAGACAAAATGGAGCTTCGGAAAGTAAACTGACCAGCATGAACCAAGTTGCTTCCTACAAAGGCTCATGTGCCTTTGCTCCTCCTTTATGTCCTATGGGAGGGGCCAATCACCTCCAAGCCTTACTCCCGACTCGTCCCTTCTGTCTTAACTATTCTTGCCTTCTGGCAGCTCTGCGCATGTGTGCACTGGGAACAGGGAGAACCTGTTCCTTTGCCTTGCTGTTGTTGGACTCTGGAGGCTCCGGAGGTGGCACATAACTCCCAGATGGCCCTGGCCCCCTCTCTGCCTCCAAAGCAGAGGCCTAGTCCAAGCCTGCCCCAGACTCCAGGATTGGCCCATGTTCCTCCCCAACCTCCTTGCTATCCAACTCTGCTGCCAGCTCTGCAGGCTGCCAATGGACCACATCACTTGCAGCTGAAATTCTGTTCCCAATTGTGATCATAAATCAAGGAGTACCAGTACCAGCAAAATTCACCACCTAACAGGGAGATAGAGAGAATCTCAAATACTCTATTAGAACAGAAGGCAAAGTTTTTGAATTGGTTGAAACATATGGAAATATATGGGAATCAGATATTCTTTACCTTTGATTTTGTAGTTATCCAAACTGACATAGAGTATCACTGATTTTAAATGCAACCCAAATTAGAGAAACGTCCATGAAAATATTTCATAGATTACATTTATCATTAGAGAAATTTAACATGATAAATTATGTTATCCGTTCCATATGTTTGAAACAATAAAAAGAAAAATACATATTAACATAGGTAGTGATTTGGTAAATTTGTTTAATTATTTTAGGTTAATTTTATTAAAATATAAATCGAATAAATCACCTCAGAATTATACAAATCGATCTGGCCTCATTAGGAATGTTTTTGTTTGTTTGGTAGTATGCGTTGATGAGACAAATCTATGAGCGTAAACAATTGATTGGGTTGGGGAGGTGCTGGTCTTTAGCCAGAAACTTAGAAAACAGGAAGGGATATCTATCTATCAGTATAATTATAATGCTGATTTTTATTCTACATAGTTCAAACATCAATTACAATATGTACAACAAAAGCATGATAGCAATACCACTTAGATTTATATACCGCTTTACAATGCTTTTTACATCCCTCTCTAAGCGGTTTACAGAATCAGCGTATTTTCCCCAACAATCTGGGTCCTCATTTTACCAACCTTAGAAGGATGGAAGTCTGAGTCAACCTTGAGCTGGTGAGATTCGAAAGCGAAACTTCTGGAAGCCTACAGTACTGTATTCTAACCACTGCACCACCATGGCTCTTGATGATTGTTTACCATTCAGTTTTTGATTCCTGAACGTTTAATTGAGGCTAGACCATTTTGCTTTTATATTACCTTCATTGTATTGTAAATAAAATTAAATGGTGTATAATTATACTTAAATATCTAAAGTGAAAATTATATTATTGATACTATGCTTATTTCTATCATTGATATTCATATATTAATTCAATTTTAACAGTTATCTTTAGTTTAAAAAGAACATATGATACTTAATTTTGTAGCTACAGATTTTAGCATAGGAAAGGAAAAAAAAACGAGAATAACATGGAAGGCTGGGTGTATTTATTAGAACAATAAAATTGCAAAAGTTGTACAAAATATTATTTTGGTTAAATATTAGGCAAAATATTTTAACATTATGGGCTATAGAATCAAGAAGATAGAGGAGGATGCCCTCCCTCCTCAGAATGCAATTCTGAGGTTGTAGGTTGTAGAGGAGGGACAAGGTTTGTTTAAAAAATCAACTCCCACACAAAATTGAAATCCCAGATCTTGGTTTTTCCTGTCAGAGTCCAAAGAGTCTGCAAATAACAAACCCAGGCTTAGGTGTGGGGGCTACAACAAATGCAATGGGTAAAGGATGCATAGATTTTATTTGCAGCTCCCCAGGGTATATACTATATCAGTGATATGCTTCTCAATGATACAACTATTGCAATTTGACCCTCCTACACTTAGAACCCAAAATATATCAAACTTTTCCTATTGTCCAGCTGAAGCTGTAGGGGGAGATGTCTATGGAGATTCTCAGTCATCCAGATCATGGTTGTTCCAAAAATGCTTTTTCAAAAGGTAATTGGACTATGTTTTTTTTTTCCCTTGAGGAGGAGATAAGTCAAATGAAAGTGCTAAATGGCATAACACACGTTCAATGACCAAAAGGTATTGGTGAAAAGTGGTTGGTTTATAGTGGTTGGAAACTGTAGACAAGATCTCTGAACCTGCTACCTAACTAGTAAACTTCAAATTTTGTTTGAACCACTTTGCAGTAAGGATCAGCTGCAAGTTTATAAGAAACTTTGAAGTGGCTCAGCTATTTTTTGAGAAGTTATGATGCCTACATTTTCTGAAGAAATTTTGATGCATCTGGAATGAAGGAAAGAAAGGAAGACTATAACCCTAACCCTAACTTTAACTAAAGTCCTGGGTGAGGCCTGAACAAGTGACATGCAGCTATAAGTATGAATACACAAACATAACCATAGGCAGAAGTTCAGACAGTTAGGCCTGTTGTTCGGAAAATTATTTTCTTTGTACTCATTATTTGAAATCCAGATATAAGTATGGATTCAGATATATATGAATATGTATGTACACCTGGATATTTCCAATTTTGGTTCAATATGGGATTTGGGAAACTAGCAATACAATAACACTTTTTTTCTACAGGGTTAATTCACAGTACAAATCAATTCAAACCAAATCTGTGATTTAAAAAATGCTTAATTTTTTTAGTAGAATTAAAAGTTTAAATTCAAAATTCAGATGCAGATATCATGATACATATATACATGTATGATTTTAATTGAAGAAATGGTATCTGATTGTCTTTAAATTCATTAGATATCATAAGACTAGATAAATTATTTTTGTCTATAATTACTCTCTACTATGCTTATCACATTTATTTATTTCTTCTCCCCAGTAGGGGAAAAAAACACAGCATAATTCTGAGAACCCAACTTTCAGTCCGAGTTCATGCCTGCATTGGTAAGTTCATAGTAAGTTTTAAATAGAAAAAAATGTATAAAATAGAAATATTCTTAAAGTGGAAATATTCTTAAAGTAATAATATATGTGGTTAGAATAATATTATCTTACATTTGTCATTTTGAAACTACTGAAAATACCTTACTGCATGCTGCAAACCATATTGCCTAGCAAAATATATTTTATCTGTTTAATGAATAATACAAGAAAAATAATTATAACAAATAATTTAGAATAAACAATTTTAGAGTTTTATTCAATTCCTAGTTATTTATGGGGTTTCGGTTTCATTGCACAGTTATTAAACTGAATTTAATGGGCACTTTCAATGTATGAAAGTTTCATTTTTGTGATTAAGAATTATCATGTAGTTTACAAGTAGTCCTTGACAACTAATTGTGTAGCAAAACAATAATTTTTCAGCTCATTTTTTAATTGCCTCATGTATATCACAGGATGCTTTACATTTTAAGTTTAAACTTAAGTTTTAGAATAATCTATTAATAACCATTGGCAGAACTTGGTAAGCTCAAACAGCACCTGCCTCAAGCAAACTTTGCCTCTGAGAGAAGTTCTGTATTATCAATACAGAAGAGAATAAAACACATCTATTGATAAATTTTGGAGGATGAATGGCTGGATTACTCATTTTGTCTTGAGGCAAGTTAATGAACAAATTAACTAACAAAGTGCCAAAATGCACTTTTGTCTGACATCTGTTCCAACTGGAATTTCTGTTACACCACTGGCAAATACATTACACATGCTAACGTTTAATGCTGAAAATCTGCTTCAGCTCTTTAGTTTTTCCATATCATAAAATAAACTCAGCTTTTTCAGGGTCCATGTGTATTACATTATACTTTCAGCCAAGAGTTTGCTTAAAATTTGTAGATTATTAAAGTAGATGTATATCAATGGAGTGCAAAGAAATAGAAGAAACCAATAGAATAGGGAGGACCAGAGATCTCTTCAAGGAAACTGGAGTTATGAAGGAAACGTTTCATGCAAAATGGGCATGATAAGGGACCAAAATGAGAGACCTAACAGAGGCAGAAGAGATTAAGAAGAGGTGGCAAAATTACACAAAAGATCTATACAAGAACAAGCTTAATATCCCTGATAATCACGATGAGGTGGTTACTGACCTCAAGCCCGACATCCTGGAATGTAAAATCAAATAGGCCTTAGGAAGTCTGAGCAACAACAAAGCTAGTGGAGGTGTCAGTATTCCAGCTGAGCTATTCAAAATCTTAAATGACAGTGCAGTACAAGAGCTACACTCAATTTGCCAGCAAATTTGGAAAATACTACAGTGGCTACAGGATTGGAAAAGGTCAGTTTACATTCCAATTCCAAAGAATAGCAATGCCAAAGAATGTTTAAACTACCGCACTATTGCATTCATTTCACATGCTATCAAAATTGTGCTCAAAATCCTACAAGCTAGGCTCCAGCAGTATGTGGACTGAGAATTATCAAAAGTACAGGCAGGATTTAGAAGAGGCAGAGGAACTAGAGATCAAATTGCCAAAATACGCTGGATCATGGAGAAAGCTAGGGAGTTTCAGAAAAACATCTAGTTCTGCTTCATTGTCTATGCTAAAATCTTTGATTGTGTGGATCACAACAAATTGTGGCAAGTTCTTAAGGGGATGGGAGTACCAGACCATCTTATTTGTCTCTTGAGAAACCTATATTGCAGGTGAAGAAGCAGTGAAGAGGAGTAAAGAGCCTCTTGATGTGGGTAAAGGAGGAGATGCAAAAGTTGGCTTGAAACTCAACATTAAGAAAACTTAATAAATGATCTCAGCATCTGGCCCTCACAATTCCTGGCAAATAGATGGGGAAGAAATGGAGGTAGTGACAGATTTTATTTTCCTGGGCTCCAAGATCACCGCAGATGGGAACTACAACCAAGAAATTAAAAGACGCTTGCTTCTGGGAAGGAAAGCTATGGTAAATCTAGACAGCATACTAAAAAGCCTTCCAACAGAAGTGCGTATAGTCAAGGCTATGGTTTTCCCAGTTGCAATGTATGGCTGTGAATGTTGGACCATTCCAACAATCCAATTCTTTGGAGCACCAAAGAATTGAGGCCTTTGAACTATGGTGCTGGAGAAGACTCCTGCGAGTCCCTTGGACTGCAATTAGTGAGTCCTAGAGGAGACCTGACTGCTCTTTAGAAAGCCAGATCCTGAAGATGAAACTCAAATACTTTGCCCACCTAATGAGAATCTGGAAGGACTCTCTGGAGAAGAGCCTAATGCTGGGAATGATTGAGGGCAAAAGAAGAAGGGGATGACAGAGAATGAGGTGGCTGGATGGAGTGACTGAAGCAGTTGGTGTGAGATTAAATGGATTCCAGGGGATGGTAGAGGACAGAAAAGTCTGGAGGAACATTGTCCATGGGGTTGTGATGGGTTGGACATGTCTTTGCAACTAACAACAAGATATCTATGGAAGCTTTATATTTATACTGTAGAATAATTCTCCCATAGTTTGGATCTTGATACTAGTCAAAGGCAAACCCAAAATCAATATAAGCATCATAAAGTTCTGAATGTCTAGGAAATACTGTAAAGTTAAAGCATAGTCCAAGGCAATGTGTGCTTCCTAAAAGCTATATTTTCTATATAGGAGTTATCTGAATGAAGTTTAGTTAGATGTAATTTTAATTCCAATAAAGATTAAAAGGGAAGGGAAGGCAGGGCCCAATCAAATTTTTAAGAAGGTGAAGCCATGATGAAAATAATGGTCTAGTTATTTGGCTATTCTGGTAACCTTGGGTCATTATGTGGAGAATGAAATTTATTTAAAATCCAGTCTTAGAAGAGAAAGACTCCTTAGAAGTATATAGCATCCTGAAGAAATCCTCCCAAATATTAGTTTTTTGCCTTAACTACAAATATATATGCAATGCATTGATGTTCTTCATTATTTTGTATAAATAGAAGTGACTAAAGCATTTTTGTAAGTATGTTATTGATTTGATGAGGTTTAGGGAGGGACAAGTCAAGGGAGGGAAGAATAGATACTTTTTATGTAGTACATTTTTAGTGTCTCTTAATAATGTACGGGGAAAAGCTGTAGAGCAGAGGTCCCTAACCCCTGAGTCTCCACCCACTATCGGTCTGTAGCCCACTTGCAACCGGGTTGCTCTAGCGGTGGGCCAGTTCGCATGCGCAGGTCAACTTGCAATAAAGTTACATGTGCATGTGCGCCGGCCTGCTGCTCATATGTCCCAATTCACTTCTCCTCCCCCAGTCTAATTCTCCCCCCACCCACCCAGCAAGGCCTCCAGGCAATAAAGGTTGGGGATCGCTGTCATAGCCTATTGTGGGAGATAATGTCATATGAATAATACTGAGTTAGATAAGCTAATGAGCTGAATTGGTATTAATAGGGTATGAGATTTTTAAAAGAATGCAAAATTGACTACCATATTTTTTGGAGTATAAGACACACCTTTCTTCCTCAAAAAGGCTGAAAATCTGTGTGCATCTTATACACCAAATACAGCATTTTTTGCCTCCCAAAGCCCTGCCCCTTCACCAAAATGGCTGTGCATACCCTTATGGAGGCTTTCAGAGAGCTCCTGGGGAATGGGTCGTTTTTGCCCCCCCCCCCCCGGCTCTATAAGCCACATAAGGCTTTTCATGCAATTTTTTTGACAGAAAATGGGCCCGTTTTCATGAAAAATGAGCCATTTTTTGCTCATTTTTGCCCCCCCCCCCCCGGCTCTATAAGCCACATAAGGCTTTTCATGCAATTTTTTTGACAGAAAATGGGCCCGTTTTCATGAAAAATGAGCCATTTTTTGCTCATTTTTGCCCCCCCCCCCCCGGCTCTATAAGCCACATAAGGCTTTTCATGCAATTTTTTTGACAGAAAATGGGCCCGTTTTCATGAAAAATGAGCCATTTTTTGCTCATTTTTGCCCCCCCCTCCAGGAGCGCACTGCAAGCCCCCCAAGATTTGCAGAGTGCAAAAACTTTTTTTTCCTTTTG